TCATCCCGAAGATGCATTATTCGTTTCAGGATCACTAGTCCTTGCACCATGAACAGAATCTAGTAAACAATGCTTTAACTATTGACGTGTATATGGCATCCAGTTAAAACAGCTAACAACTCATAGAGATGTCTCAAAGACGAGGTAGATATATCGGTACACATTTAAATCCCATTTTGATTGTTTTTGTATTGAAACCGACATTTACTGGTACAGTTACGGACTTTCCAGAAGAAACTGCTAATGGGGCAAACAGTTCTTTTCCTCTTTCTAAGAATGCCCCAGTACATAATAACCGTGTCTCCTTTGCATTATGCGGTCAGTGCCCGACCTCATAAAATGTTGATCGCAGCTCTAACGTGTGTATTCGATTAGGAAGGATTGCTTGGGTGGAGTTGTAATATTAATAATCGTGCAACATAATCCCATAATATTTAAGATGCGTCAGGATGATGACTTGTGAAATTACTTCAGACCAGATGTGGTTATGCAGCCACACCGAAGGTGAACAAACACCAGCCACCTGTAGTACGGAATCGGTGGTAATAGGGGGTTTTACAATTGGGGCCGGGGAACGCACAGGCGACGAGGTCAAGTAATTGTATTTAAAAGAAAAGCGATTGGGAATGCATGGTTATACTTGGGATGGTTGAGAAATAGTTGTGCTAACACCTAAGCTTAACCCTTAACTATAATCCCTAACCACTAACCATAATTCCTAACCCTAAGCCAAAACCCTAACCCCATAACCTTAACCCAAATCCTAACCCTTAACCGCAGCCCTAAAACCTAAACTTCAAATATCCAACGCGAAAGTTAGAAGGAGACGACAGGCCGGAAGTCAAGAAGGACCACGGGCATTGGGCCAAGAAGGGTAGACACGGCATCAAAGAGGGAGGACCGCTAGAAGAACACACACTGCAATGCACAGCCTCACATTGCCAACGTGATACCACCAACTCAAAATAATTAAGTAGGTCAGCAGTATTGTGTACATCAGGTGCGGCAACATAACATGCCATACTTGCCATACTTAATTTCAACTGACTGTAAAAACCGCCCTTGACAAAAGGAACTACTTAAGTAGTGCTAACTTTTCCCACTGATTTCCGATGTCCTTGCAAATTCGAATATAGTTCGTGGAAAACATGCAAAAACATTCTTTTTCGTGTTCACTTGCAACAAAATGGCGTTTTTATATTTTATACTCGTAGTTAGGATATCTTTCGGTCCGAGAGTTTTTAATTGAGAGCTTTGTAAAAACTGTGAAATGTTCACATTCACTGCGAAGTTTTATTAGTGCTATATATTATTTTCTTACTGACAGAGAAATTTATGATTTCCCCACACAGAAAGTGTGCAGCATGTTCACCGAACCTCTAAAAGCAAACGCAACGGTGGATCAGGCCCAAAATTATTCGGAAATCAAAAACCTCTATATAACCTATATATAATCTTCTTTTAGGCATGAAATACGAAGAAGTGATGTCTACAAGATATGTACGGCAAGGAATATTTTTACGCGTGTTCTATGTGTATGTGGGTATGAAAAATGACGAAAAAAAGTCACCAGTCAAGCGACTTGTTTTGCAGAGTGCCGTTCCTACAGGCGGCTGAAAAGTGGTACCTTCAAAAGTTCAGGCCTGTCTGGAATGCTTTGCGTTTATGCTACAAGATGGTCAATATTACAAGCCCACTTAAATAATCATTGCTAATCGAAAATGCGTTCCGGAATTCCGGTTAACATTTCTTCATACCGGCTACTGACTGTAGGTTTTACCTGACGTTTTTTTAAATAAAAAAATAGGAAGGGCGTTTACTGGTCAGCGAGCGGGAATTACTTGTCTCGTTGCAGGTTTAGGCCTTATCTAAAGCTCTCGCATTTAGCCGCACATCGACCAGTAGTAAGACAGGAAGGAATACCGACAAAGACAAAGGAGACTTGGATGGCTATTTTTGGCTTATCAGCCACATTCGGCAACCAGCCATACCCAATCGCAGGTTTGCATGTGACCTGGGATTCGAACCCGAATTTCCTAGCTATTGAGCGCCAAGTCCAAGGCTTCGCCGTTTATCTACTGTCTTTTTTCGCGGAACTTCCGTCCTAATGAGATGGAATAATTTTGGCAAACAGTATGCAGAGTTTTTACATTTAAGTGGCGACAGAGCTCGCAGGTTTTGAAAACTCCTGTCGCAATTCGGGTAATGAATACGAAAATTTCGCGACGACTTTTCAAGTGCTGCCGGTCGTTGCATAACAGAAATAACAAGTGAGAAACGTACAAAGGTTTGAATTTCAACAGAGAAAATCGATGTAAAACAGCAAGGTCAACGTGTACTGCGCGTAGACTAATCGATAAAATGGTAACTTCAAAATGCAACATAGGAATGAAAATGGGGAACTAGGCATGCCAAAGGAATTTCGAAACTCAAAAGGGGCTCAGGTCTACCAGGGCAGGCTGAGGTTGACCACGTGGTCTAGCTGTTTACATAGGTCGGGTTTCTCCCGCCGTATATAAGCTGCTTCCAGGTAGCGCAATAACCGAGTAGTTCGTGCTCGAACTAATACTCGAAAAGACGTCTTAGGGTCAACCGAATGGCCACTATCAAGGAGATGTTTTGTAATGGAAGACCGTGGCCATATAGGATATTATCAAAAGTCGGCAAACGATCACGAGGCTTAACATGCCAAACGGTGTGAAACCTGAAAATTAAATGAAACATGGTCAGTAAGGACCCTGTTTTGAACTGACGACGTAGAAAGTACTGTGACTAGTCTGCAAATTCACCAATTTTTTTGCTTTCATGGAATTTAATAGAATACGACAGCAACATACGTACTTAGAGTAGGTTAAGTTGTCAAGGCTTTTTTCGGCAATGTAATATTCTGCGGCCGAAAAGGACCAGAATCATTTACAACGATCCGTCGTCGATTGTGGGGGTTGTATCCCAGAACCTTCAGTGAAAAGTAAGAATTCGCAAAGTAAAACCACATGTTTTGGGTTATTTTTGTATACTTTAAGCCAAACATGCTTATAAGCATTTTTCACACAGTTATGCAGCATAGACCCCTTATGTTCTCATATATATCAGGTAAGATTCGTTGAAATTATGTATGTAAATTCAGTGTTTGTATACTGTTCAGAAACATACACATCGTACGCTATTAGGGAGTCTTATTCAATACGCAGAATTCTGTAAACCAGCAAAAATCCGCGATAGAGTGAAGCCAAGGAAGTCGAAGTGTGATATAACTAGGGATTACTGTGTTCTGAATTGAGCGAATAAAGATTTTAAAGACATTGGGAACAAAATGCGAGTTAACGATGCCATGGATTTTTGAAACCGCCTTTCAGTTAGTAATGGTCAGCTAACCTCTTTAGCCCACCTGAAAAAGTATTTCTGGCCATTTTACCTCACACCGTGCCTGTCTGTTCTAGTTTGCTTCCAAACTGCGTACCTGCTGCAGCATAAATACGTAAAGACTGCTGATAGCTTGATAAAAAGTCCCCGAATTGAATTGCATCGTTAAAGTATCCTTAATTCGCAAGTTCTATCTTGCTATAGTTTATTTTATGGCAAATATTTTAAGCAAATAAATGCGAACAAACAAAATTGCGAATTCCTAACCATTTATTCGCCTAGAAATGCTTATTCAAATAGCCCAAAATTCCACGTTATCAAAATCATGTGACTTTTGCAAAAACAGATCAAATTTAGTGTACATTTTTTAGATTTGCATCAAGTGGGTGGTAAACCAAATCCCACCAAGATCAAAGGACTACGGTTTCCTATTTTCTACCCAAAATCACGCATGAAGCATGTGTTGCTTTGGTGGTGTTTCCGACAGACCGCAGAGGTAGCAGTCCTTCAGAATGCCAAACAACCAAAGGCATGTAAGGGCATTTAGATTCTAGACAAACATTCTGGGAATATTTATGAGAATACCCGATAGCCCGCCAATTTTAGCCTGTGGAACGCAAGATTTGATATTGGCCCACAGCTGTCGCATTGCAGTTGTCAAAAGCATGTTGCATAATGCCCTGTTGATGTTGTTTACGCATTTTTTCCTTTTAGTACGCTAGTCCAGCTTCGCGTCTGGTTGCATCCACTGGCATGACAATCTGACGAAATCTGAAAAAAAACATGAGGTTTAGAGTGCAGTCGTTGTTCAGTGAGTAAAAACCAAACTCATGCTCTCACACAATACTTTAATCTGCTGCAATGAGCGTGAAAACCTTCCACGTCGGCATGGGCGAACGCATGCACATGAAATCCTCCTATTCTATGCTGCCTTTGATTATGGTGGGGTCGAGCACGAATCCGAAACGCCAGACGAGTGGAGCTCTTGTTCTGGTGACCACGTCTATTTTCTCCCAAATCAAACAGTTTCGAATGTCAGCATGAACTTGTTGGCGCATAGGTACTTACGTGTGTCCCCGTGAACAGACAAAGTAGAATCTGATTGACGGCTTATTTTTTGCTAAGATTTTGGTCCAGTTCAAAAGGCCCTTCAATTGCAGTGCATGCGTTACCGGTCAGGGTATAATAAAAAGTTGTAAGCTCTAACTTCGACAGCGTCACTACGTAAAGTGATTCCGAAACGGACACTGCCACACAAGAAGCCAGTGGTGGCCCTTGGGATCTAAATAGTTGTTTCTGTCTGCAACGACAAGAGTACAGAAACCAAAAATTAAAAAAAATGCTCAGTTTTTCGGTTTGGGTCAGTGACGACAGCAGACAAACAGAGATAACATGGCTTCTGTCGATCGCTTTTTATAAAGACCCGTGCATTTAACTGGCAGTAGACAGAGTCGACTGGGAAATTGCGTAGAAAGGTCCGTTTGGGGGAATTGGAGGTAAAGAAAGTTTGGCTAGCTGACAAAAGCCCAAGGCAACAGATTCCAAATCTCAAATTTGAAAACCTGAACATGCAAATCCAAATAGGGAGGCGCTGTGGCGATGGATTAAGAACACGCCTGTTCAAGGTCCACCGAGCCATGGTCACTCGCCAACATTCTGAACTCGGCAATGGTATGGTGAAGGACCCCGCTTCACTGTCCCCAGACTGGGACGTGAATGATGGCAATGGGCGTTTTACGGGTGAGTCAGCCCGACAGACAGCAAGCTGAAGAAGTGCAAGAGCGCACAGAAATCGCCAGAATTTCTGCCGAAAGTCATACTGCACACTCGCGACAATAAAGGCGTTAACAAAAGGCAGATTTTAAAAGAGATAATGGGGAGGGGTCGGGTAATAGTTTGGGGTCATGGAAAGTAATTATTGTTGTCAGTGCAATTTCTGCAACGGCCTGCAAATGGATGCTAAGATTAAACCCCATAGCTTGTCTGTTGTTAGGCCGAATAAAAAGGATTATGGGCACAGTGTCCAGCGGATTTCGTAGATGAGTGCAGGCAACTACGCAGTCAGTGGGACATCCTGTACCACCAGGCCGTCGGTCGGAAAGAGCCGTTAGTACAAAAAGTCCCCCAAGTTAGCCTACTACGCCGCTTCACCTCCGTAACAAGGGTCGTGTGTGGCACGTGTGGACGGGTCGTTCAGGTTTGCGGCAACTGCGTCCGCGTCACCCCTGTAGTCTTCACTCTGTCCTTTCCTCGGAGCGCATTGGTTGGGCGGAGGCAGGGGACGGTATATGCAGCGCAAGTTCGCCGCTTCATGAACCGGTTCATGCTCAGGTCTCGCCATGTTCCCACCACTCCGTGAGACACTCGGTGGACGTCATCGTTCGCAAGGGTCGAGCTGTCACTGTAAAATAACAGGATTACAGTCGATGCCTTTCTGCATCTTTTCAGGTATAAGGACGGATTATAAACTGCTCCGTTGGCAGCCGGATGCCAGAGGACTGATCCTGACCACGCTGAGGATATCGCCTTGACAGGTCCAAACTTTGTTGATAAACAGTCTACAATGTTACAGGTGAGTGAGATTGTTAAATCAGTCGGTTTTTACAAAAACGCTGGGAAGACCAAACTGACCAGGAGCCTAATGCTTGCCAACTTGAAGAAGTAGACAGTTTTAGATCCCGTCTACTAGCAAAAACTCAAGCATCCCAAGATTACAAGCTGGAAGATTACAAGCTGGAACGATCAGTACGAAAAATGCGCAAGTTAAGCTGTGGAGCCTTTAGAACGTGGAAGATACCGCATTCATGTAAGTTAAAGACGTACGCTGTGGACGCAGAGGAGCGGCCGACCTCCACAAATTCGATGTGTGTGTGTGTGTGTGTTTGTGTGTGTGTATGTCACGGCACTCTCACGCAAGTGAGAGACACGCCGTTCAACCCCCGTTGTGTGAAATCCTGATGTTGTCTGTATGGTGGACCAGGTCGTGCCGTGGCGCGCGCAGTCATGGTCAGTCGACCATGACAGCCACCGCGCCCATTCCCCACTGCAGTCTGCTGACCGGCTCGGACATCGGCTGGGGTGTGGGAGTGGGAAGGGAGAGTGAGGTCGACGACTCAGCGCACTTTCTCCTCACTATAAACAATCTGACGCGCTTAAAGCTATCACGGTGCGCTAAAAGCCGTGGCTTGGAAGGTTGCCAACTGACGGGGTAACTTGGACCTCCTCCTTGACTGGAGGCGGTCTGAGAGTCAAACTGCAATGGCTCCTTTTTAATGTGGCCTTTATGGCACTCCCATCACAGTGTGGGATCCGAGCCAGGCGTTGGCGGCACGCCTAGGTGCGGCTTCGGCCGTGCCAGCCTCCAAATCTCTGTTGTGTGGGTTGAAATCCTGGTTATTGTTGTGTGGACCAGGAGGTGTGGTGGAACGCCAAGGTGAGGATCCGTCTGAGCCATCCACATGCGGCCCCCCTCGTCTCCGGTCTTCTTGACTCTGTCTTGACACCGGGCTCGGGCGAGGGTGGAGGAGAGAGTGTAGGTAGATGCTACGCAAGTCTACCGGCACTATAAACCCCTGCGTTAGTCACCGTCGCTGCTCCGACTGCTGCTGCAACTGTGGGGCACACGGTGGACATCATCGAAAACGATGGTCGAACTGTCATGTGTGTATGTGTGTGTGTGTGCTCTACCCCTGATCGACAATAGCCAGCTGCGGAAATTAGCTAAAACTCCCTTCTTCCTCAGGCTTGCCTAATTGTAGGCTGAGTGAAGAGAATTATCGACACAGCTTCCACTGGATTTCGCAGATGAGTGCTTGCAACTGCGCAGTCAGTGGTGCATCCGGTGTCGCCAAATAATTGATCGGAAAGAGCTGTTAGTACATAAAATCTGCCAGGCCAGCCTACTGTGCCATTTCGTCTTCTGCATAACATGAGGCCACTGACATCTGCCATTCTGATCTGCCTGATAGCCCAGGCGCTGAGTTATGAATATGGCCGCGGCTACGGTGAAGAGGATCACTACTTGAGTGAACGGTACGAACTCCCATACGTTCAAAAATCGTATCAGCGGCTGCCGTCACAGCAGGAGTTCTCTGTGATTCCTGAGAGGAGGGAAAAGAGGCCGTACCAGAGGATGCAACCTAAAAAACCCCAGCAGCGTGGCGTCTACCTTTACGGTCTAAGGGGCAAGAACTTCAAACAACGCGAATATCTGTAGATTTTCAAACATCGGACCCGCCCGCGACTCCCAGCCTCCACGCAGAGAAAGATGACATAAAATAAAACCCTGTTTTACGCTGTGATGACTTTTGCATTTTCATACGCAAGACTGGCTGATAGAAACTCCATAGAATGGTCCAGTAATAACAAGCTTCAGGACATGACGTGCCACAGAGACGCCACTTTTGAGAATACCTCCTGCGCTGAGCAATTATGGTCAGGACTGATCAGGACAAAAGCGGGCGGTTCAAAGTCTATTTACAATAACAGCGGTTCGTAAGCCTAAGAAATAAGGAATATGGGCATAAAAACGTCTTCTCTGAGAACCGACAAACCGCCAACCCTCTGAAATTCAAGAAGAGCTATTGGAGAGAAGTTGGACGGTCATGAGAACTAGTTTATATCCCCAGTTTCAGACAGTGTAAGATAAGCTCATTTTAATCTGAAAAAGATTGGGCTGGAACTACAGGGCAAACCCCATGTAGGTTGTGAATGCAACGAACAATTGCTATTGTTCTATATATAAAAAGCAGTTAAAAACTTTCAATGCAGATTAAGGGATTACTGAAGTATTGATACCAGGAAATGTTTTCGGGGGGTTTTTTAGACCGCATTTCTTAGTCTACGTATATTTTCTTAAGAAGGGTTCTAGTACTTCAGATAGTGGTGCGCTGTAACACTGGATATCGGGTCCATGCCATCACTGAAGAAGAAGACGAAGAAGAAGAAGAAGAAGAAGAAGAAGAAGAAGAAGAAGAAGAAGAAAACGACAACAATACCGAAGGCAATGGTGTTGGTAGTGGTGGTGGTGGT